TGAATGTTGGCCTTTAAAAGAGAAGCATAATAATAAGTTAAGTGTTGCCGAGATGAGAATGATTAGGTGGATGAGTGGCTTTACACTTAGAGACAAAATGCGGAATGAATATATTCGTGATAGGGTTGGTGTAGCTCCTGTGACAGACAAAATTAGAGAAAGTCGTCTTAGATGGTTTGGTCATATTAAACGTCGACCATTAGATGATCCAATTAGGAGAGTAGATGTTTTAGATTCGACTTGTGTTAAGAAAGGCAGAGGTAGACCTAGGAAGACTTGGGCTTATTGTATTAAAAATGATCTTAATTTATTAGAACTAAATGAAAATATGACACTAAATAGGACGCAATGGAGAAAAAGGATTCATGTGGCCGACCCCACGTAGTGGGATTAAGGCTTTGTTGTTGTTGTTGTTGTTGTTGTTCAAGTTCTAGAACATTGGAATTATTATTTGCTAACAAATGAATGTATATTATAGTTGGATCATAAAGTTTTAAAATTTATTTACAGTCAAATAAGCTTAAATGACGACAGCTGAGGAGGTTGAGTATCTTTCTTCTTTTCAATACATTATTAAGCATTTGTGAATGCATTAAGTTGTTAATATAACTTCCCTAGTACCCTTCAATAAAATATTATTGGGTTTGAAGCTTTAAAAAATCTTTCTACCGATGATTTAAAATTTGGAAAATTATGAAATCTATGTCAAAACAAAACCCCTAAATTCTTTCATATTCAAGAGGGGTACTTATTTCAACACAATCACATTCAAATTCATTGTTGCTCGCCATGGTAATCAATTTTGTCTGAATATCATGTAGTGTTAGGAGTACATTTTGGTCATTGACAAAACTATCGCTATAATTACAAAAAAATTGGCAGGCCATCAATTCAGTATGATGTTGATTGTTTCCTTAAGTAATGAAAAGTGTCACAAAGCCAAATCTAGGTGTCCGAAAATAAGTCTTTACACTCCTTTGCCCGTATTTGAATCATTGTGGATTGACATATGGATTTCATTGTGGGACTTCAGAACACCCAACGATATAAAGATTCAATCATGATTGTTGTTGATCAGTTTTCAAAAAATGGCTCATTTTATTCCGTGCTGTAAAACCAATGATGCTTCCTATATTCCTAAAATTACTTCAGATATTGTTCTTTTGCATAGGATTCTAAACACGATTACATCTGATCATGATGTGTGCTCCTTTAGTTATTTTTTGAGAATTTTATGGGAAAAATTGTACACCAAACTTCAATTGAGTTTCATTGCTCATCCATAAACTGGCAGTCAAGTAGAAGCCGTCAATCAAAGTTTAGAAAATTTATTATGGTGTTCTGTTGGAAAAACTTAAAAGCAATAGGACTTCATTATTCCAAGCAATGTTTGCTTATAATAAGGCCTATTAACCAAACCATAGGGCGAAGCTCATTAAAGATCATTTATCGTCAAAATCTCGTTTCTCCTTTGGATTTAATGCCATTTAATGCCCACAGTTATTGCTTTTGAATACAATTCTAAGCAGATAAAAGAACCAAAGATATTAAAAACAATGGATTAACAAGTCCAAACTTTGATTAAAACAAATAATTCACAATAGCAAAGGCAAGTGAACAAATCTTGTAGATCATTTTCTTTTAAGGTGAGTGATAGAGCAGCGATTCATTTAAAGATCCGATCTATGTCCTCTGGGACATTTTGCTAAGCTTAAACCTAAAGCTGATCGAAACTTTTGAATTATTAAGCACTGAGAAAAATGCTTATAAAATAGAATTGTCAGAGGACAAGAAAATTTCAACCACCTTCAACGTAGTCAATCTTTCACCATATCATGAAAGTGATAGGGAATTAGACATCAAGGATGAATCTTTTCCTACCCAGAGAGCATGATATTTTTATTAGGAATGGTCTTTTATTTTATTAATTTTTTTAGTTTCTATTCTTCTATTTTACTTTTTTTTGTTAATTGAGGGTAGTATTTTAATTAGGTTCCCGTAGAATTATTACTGTCTTCTATAAACACCCTTGCACTAGATGAGTTGGGGATCTTTCGTGAGTTTGTTTCAGATTTATCCTATTTGAGGGAGATTTCCATATCATTGGGGAGGATTTCCCCTTGTTTAGGAGAAATGGGAAGGAGACAACCATAGTGGGATCCAAAGTTCCAAACCTTTCCTTTGTGGCTGGCCAGTAGAAACCAGCAATTTCAACATCCATTAACAGCAGCAAGAATGGAATACCACCTGTTATGTAATTCTATGCATCCAAATCCAAGTTTCCAATCAGTAGTTTATTGAAGAATCAATAAAACCTGCAGTTTTGTTCCTTGATAATACCTTCTCATCAGTTTCCATGTTTTCCATTCTTATTTTTTTACCTTAAAGCAATTATTCTGGAGAAGAGATCATCGTTGTTTGTTCTTTCGGTTTATTTACAGGGTTTCTTGAAGGAAATCCTATATAAGAATTCTATCCTACCACCTTTGTTTTATGCAGCCTCCTCTGTCTCCAATGTCTTCGAGAATTTCTGTGAGATCTGGAAGGGAAACATTATTATTAAGCCAGTAAATCTTTTAAACTAGGTTATCTGCCTATTCTATCTTAATCCTTATATTTAATTATTGTGAAATATTTATCGTATGGTTCTTATATTATTCTCATGCAAGAGAATTCCAAATTTTGATCCAATTCATAAACGAGAAGCAAGTTGCCATTCATTCCTGAATTCAAGAAGTTACCCTATATCATGATAGAAGAGGAACAAATTGTGGAGACTCTCCCAAACCATCCCAATGAAAGTTGAAGACTATGAGCCCAGAGTTTTTCACCATTAACTAGTGATCTCCTTTCATTTTAATAACTGAGATTAATACTTCTTGTAATATTACATTCTTGATTTTTAATGTAGTATTGGCTGCACTAATTTTGATTCTGTTAACGCCAAATTTAATTCTTAGGTGGGAATTGTGGAGTATAGTTTCTTCATTTTTTCCCATCAGTTTTCATAGTGAATTTATTTTGTGGCTGCTTGTATTGCTCCAGTATCATAACATACCCAACACTGCATTCTTAACTGGCATGATCGATCAATTCATTTAAGATCTGAAGTTAATTCAAGTAAAAGAGTTTTAATTAGAAGAAATAATAAACTTACACTAGAATACTACACAGATTTAAATTATGCAAGATCACAAATGAATAAAAGATTAGCTTAAAGTTATTATGCACTTCTTGGAGGAAATCTGGTAAATATGGAGGAGTAAGAAACATAATGTGGCAGCTAGCCCTAGCAATAAATCATAATTTATGGGCACAACAAAAGTAATTTGTAAATTATTAGGACAATATATCATACTAAATTAGTTGAGAATAAAAAAGAAACGACCTAAGGATTTGTATCATGAAAATAGATTAATAGATCTATTCATAAGCTGATATAACTTAACCGTATTAAGTACACCGAGATTGATAGGCACTCCTCAAAAAAATCTAGAAAAACACTCAAGTTGCATGTCTTATGTGCCCTCAAGAAGTCAATAGATAAATAAGTTTATCAAATTAATCAATAGAGCATTGTTTCGTCAAATCATCTCCAACCTAGAAACGGAATTGTTGCACTGAATAGGTTCCTCATTTCCCACCTAGATCAATCCCTATATTTTCCTGTACAAAATTCTTGATTTTTTTCTCTTATAACCACCACCGTCTCCCAAAGAGTATTGCAGGTCAGAGTAAATCAAATCAAAATCACATAGTTACAGAATGACGTACAGAATCAAAGAGTATTTCCTGTACAGAATGACGCCATGAAAACAAATCAAAATCACATAGATACATACAAAATAACAAAATATAGATCCTGTTATAGCATGAAAAGCATAATATAAAGCTTCGGCCTTCAAATCTGTAGAAATTTGTGTGATTACAGATATTTTCCAATTGTTGCACTGAATAGGTTCCTCATTTCCCACCTAGATCAATCCCTATATTTTTTCCTGTACAAAATTCTTGATTTTTTTTCTCTTATAACCACCACCGTCTCCCAAAGGTAAACATCACGGCCCCCTTTCTTGGAGCAATACATCAAGTCAAATCCATCACCATCAAGATCACTACTACTTTGAGAAGACGTTCAAAACTAAACAATATTTAAAAACTTCTTCCTAACTTCCTCAAACTTTACTGCGATAATCTTCAAAAGGCAAATAACATTAATTTTTTTTTCAAATTAAGTGAGGACAAACTCGTAACTTTTAATTACATACTTTAAAACCTCTGTTTGAACATTAACTACTACTTTTAAACCCTACCTAATCTACACTATTTCTTAGCATCAATTACAAAAATGGATGCACGAATGCATTCTTATGTGTGTGTGTGTGTACATATATGACCGCATGACAACAACTCAGAACTATCATATAGTTGTGTTTAAATTATAGTTATGCTACCACTGAACAATATTAACATTTACGATACTCCAAAATGAATCATTTGGATCATTTGGTGGATTGTGAGAGACTAAAAAAATAGCATACCTGCCCTGCCTCAGAATCTTTCTCACTAGATTTGGGACCTTTCCCTGAACTCGGGCTAGCAGAAACATCATCAGTGGAGGATTTTTCAGCATTTGCCTTCTGTTCAGCTTCTTTCTTAGCTCTAGCTTTTGCTTTTGCAGATGCTGATAAAACAACAGTTGGTAGCTTAACTGTCAATGTTGATGCTGGTGGTGTTGTAGGTCGAGGATACTCAAACAAAGAAGGTTTGGCATTTGATAAAAACTCAAATCTCGGCACTTTGAGATCATAATTCAAACCGATGAATGCCGTAGGTGAAAAGGACAAACTAATGAAGTAAAGGAGGGGATACCAATACCAAAATTGGCTAAATACCGCAAGTCCAACAACCGCTGTTATTTTATCATGCCTTGTTTTAGAAAGCAACCTAATTGTAACATTTCGTCCACCAGCATCCAGAATCCCAGAAGCTATAATGGCACCCATCTTGCTCATTGTATCCTCATGCTTATCCAGAATTATTTTTTCCAGTTGGCGCCTACAAACAGGTCAAAACAAAGTATTAAATTTCAGATAGTGGGGCAACATGCCAATAATAAAGACAACAATAAGGACACCTGAAAGTTCCCACTCGATGATCACAAGATTCGTTTGTCTGGATCATGACCATAGCCATGGCTATTAGAGCTCCTTGGCGAACAAAATCCACGACATCTGATGTCAATGGCTCCAACAAAGAAATGGCTTCGCTTAGACCAGTTCCGGCACAAGAAATGCCTATAGCTAGAGCAGCACCATATCTAACATGTGGGTTGTATGACTCCGAAAGCAGAGAAACAATTCTTGGCGTCTGAAAGTAACAATAAACAGTAAAGTGAGAAATTTAACAAATAAATGCATATAAGAAAATTAGTATTGGTTGCTCAGTAGATTGAATTAAAATGTTATTTTTATATTCTCTGTAAACTGACTTGCTCTGGTTCAGAATATAGAACAAATCCAAGGGCAAGAACAGCCGTCCTCCTAACATCATCACTGACATCTGATACAGCAAAATGCAGCAGCTGATGTATTGCCTTGTTGTTTGCCGTCCCTCTGTAAGCCAGGGCCAGCGCATACATACCACCATAGCGAAGTATTGGATCTTGATCTCTAGTGAGCTGTTCAATCAAAGTATCAGCTTCTTCTTCCCTGCCATAAACAGTCAATGCTATGCCAAGAGCCAAGCCTCTGCAAAAAGGTTGAAGAACCAAAGATTTGTGGTGAAGACAACTACAATGTAATACATATAAGTGAGAGGCATCGACGCACTGAACAATACAATTTGGTGTGTTACCCTATTTTACAAAAATATTAAGCACATTTCAGAACATCAAATACACCATAAGCTTTTTCGAGGATATGTGCTTTTACTGACAAACCAGATAAACAATAACAAATTGCACATAACATGTTTGCATCTTCATAGCAGTAGTTTCCATTTAAATTATCAATTAATGAAGTTATTGCCCATAAAAAAATGTGGCATTCAACTACCACAAGATGGTAAGCATCTTTGATTGTCTTTAACAGAATTGTGAGTCGGGGGAGCGCCCGCCCCCAGCTCTCAATGCGGGAGTCTTGTGAACCAAGCCACAACCTGGCTATTTGCTTGGGCCAGTTTGGTAGGTTTTTTCCATTCTAAGGAGTTGGTTGGTCCTCTTGGGTCACTCCTAGCTATCTTATTACTAGATATTCGTGTTTCTGATTCTCTAGGTTTAATTTTTTTTTTATGAGCTTTGATTAGGACCGTTGTCTGCATCTGTTTCTCCTTTCGAGGGATATCTCCAAATGTTTAGGTGATGCTCCGGCCGTATCTCTTTACCGAGATGGTGGTTATCTTCAATATCTCATTCCACATCCTCCCCACATCACTCCCAACAACCCTCCATTCTTGCAGCCACCCCCGAACAGCCGCCGTTGCTGTTTTCACTGCAGTTTTTCCAATTCCAGCCACTTATCCTCGCTGCAGCCGGTCCGAACAACATCCTCTTGCTCTCCTGCAATCACCACATCCCCATCGCTGCCACCATCATCCCCACTCACTGTCGATGACCCGAATAGTTGTTTCTGCTTGTTTCCCTGCTGTCCAACTATCAGTCCGACTTATTGCCGCCTGGACTGCAGCATATACTACTATGCCTGCAGTCCCGCTTGCTGCCACGGCACTGGACCACACTCCTCTTGTTGTCCAGCCCAGCCCTACATAACATTCCTCTTGCTGTCCAACAGTCCACAGCCCTTCCCCTTCGTTGCTGCTTACAAGTCCCAGCCCTCCGCTTCGCTGGAAACGCAATTCCAATTCAAGATGTGCTTTCTTGCTGCAAATCCAATTTTTTTATAAAGAAGGACATCAATTGTATTTGTTTTATATGATTTTTATTGGTTTTTATCCGTGAACTCCTTGTGTATGATATTTCTTTTCATTAATATGAAGAAGATGTTTATGAGTATGATGTGTGCTTAATTTTCTCGTTTCTCCCTTGGATTGGCTATGTAAAGATGATTAATCAGAATTTTCATAAGTGATTTCCTACAATCTTTCATATAATGATGTTTTAACCTTTAGAGCATAATTAACTTTCAACATGATTAGTTAAAATGTTAAATCTCGTCGTGAACTTTGAGATTCGGGAGAATTCTTAATGCAACGACTAAGTAACACGATAATTTAGGGAAATAGGTATATTGCCTCAAGATTAATGCAATCATTAAGGGAGAAGTGATATCTTAGGGTAATCACTTGATTTAGGGGTTTAAACTTGTATGATTGTTGAACTTTCTTAGACATATTTGATGTGTATCAAATATGCATGTTATTTTTAAAATTTTTTCTTCATTTATATATTTTGATGTTTTTCATAGTATTTGTGGTTGTATATATAGAGTATAGGTGATTACCAAATTTGGGGAGCAAATGAGACGGAAAAGCTTAAAAATGGGCTGAACCGTACTGCCCGGGCGCCCCCTCACAATATCAGAGTACCTTTTTGAGAGACTCGAGTCCTAGGCGCCATTCTTGGACGCCTAAGCACTGGGAGACAGAAGAAATGGCAACCAGAAGCCAATTTTGGGTGCCCAGACGACATAAACAGGAGCCTAAGGGCCAAAACTAAGCTAGGTGCCCAATGCCCCAAAAATTCATCCCAAGAAGACAAAAAGTTGGCGCCATGACTGCAACGCCTAGGTGCTAGTGACCAACGCCTAGGCTCCACAGACCAGTGACGAGGCGCTAGTTCAAGCTTTTTGGCAGTTTGGGTGGTTTTAAGACGCTGAATTGTGAAAGATGTTATAGATTATCATTTGGTTGATGTCAGGGAGGGAACCATGGATTTTAGAGAGACACAAACTTTGGAGAAGGATTCAGAGGTAAGAACTTAAAGGAAGAAGGATCCAAAAGCCTTTGAGTGAAGTGAGGAAAGTGCTTGTGAGTTTTAGGGTCCGTTTGGGGCAGTTGTCGCTTATTAATAAGTTGTTGATAAACAACTGTTACACAGCAGCTAATCGTAATAAAATGACTGGTTGTTTGGTTTGTGTTGTTGAACAACAGCCGTTTTGCAGTTATTTCTGGACAAATAATCATTCTGCCCCTATGCAGTAATGTTGTTTGCAATATAACTGTCATGACAATACATTTGATACTTGAGAAACAAAAATTCAATTTAGAGCAGTACGAAAAATAAGATATACACCTCAATTAATAATTTGGGCTTGGGCCTTCACCGGAGCCGCTTATTTGCTCGGCCGACAAGTCCTCTAGCATGCTTGCAAACCCTTGCTCACTTGGAGTGAACGCATGAGTGTTTGTTGCCACAACCCCATTGAACATAAAGTCCAACTTCTCCTACAGATCAGGGTCAATTCCACTGAATTTGAATTTCTTGGCGCCCGGTACTACCTGCAACATACGGGCAAGTTTATTACTTCAAACAACTTACTAGGATAACGTAAGAAAAAACAAGTCTTCAATTGTAGGTTATTACCTCTAATTTCTCAGTCCAACGTTCCCCCGAAGCATCAATAGTCTATTTGATTGGATCTCAACCCATGCCCGTAGATTCTCGTTTTAGTTCCTTCCATAATTTTCAGTCCTTCAACTGATTCCACTTGTTCTTAAATTGTAATTGGTCGTACTCCTTCCTATCATTTCCTTAAATGTCTTCTTAATATTTTGTCACCCTTTCTTGTTAAAATAGGTAGTGAGTCTATTTCCCAATTCAGCTTCCTTAAGACACATGTCGCAAAATATGAGTGTGACTTCCTTATCCCAAATGGCTGACGAACCGACTTCTTTAGTCTTAACCATTGCATTACCAACAAAGAAAAGACATAACATTAATATTTCAGATCAGCAAGAGAACATACATTAGTCACCACCCAACCCTCAACACAACCACCACCCAACCCCCAGCACAGTCACCACCCACCCCAAATATTCAAAACATCTGAGAGGCGTTAGAATCATCAAAAGACCATGCGGATTCTCTCCAAACATCAAAATAACATTTGAGACCAAATATACAAAATATACGAGTCCCATGCAAGAAAAACTTCAATGTAAAACAAAATGCATCAAGGCTTCTCAAAATGATTCCAATGGCACCTCAAGCGTATTTTTAAAATATAAAATCCGCACTAGAAGATATTTTTTTAATATCAAATAAAAATATGGCAGATTAATGAGCATAGCTAAGGACTAAGATAATATCATGTTGGTTCCAAATAGATGGATAACATCCTAATTGCTCTTCCACCTTGATAAGAATGGCAATGACCAAAATTTTTGTGAATCCATTGGTAAACATAAAACATACTAACTTCAACCTAAACATAAAAAATATTAATACATATTGAACCTTAAGAAGTATATTAACTCTCTCCCTAAGATACACAAATATCTTATGCATTGAAATACATACTAACTCATCAATACAATGCAGTGGATACAAACCAACCACCATTACATTGTCAAGAATATAGCTGAGCCACACAAGCTTCATATGAACCTTAATTTCTTATGCATCCATTTTGATATAAAATCAAAGTTCATCATATACAAATTGATTTAGCAATATCATGCCTCAACACATCCACCACAACACACTGCGCCCAACCACAACACACTGCGCCCAACCACAGCCCACGCCCACACCTCAATGATGCACTCTTCCAATAGTTTTCATTTGAAGAAATTGCATACAGGTCACCTCAATGAACCACAACCCACATCGCACATCCACACACACACCCAGAGCCACGCACAAACCCACAGCCACAACACACAGCACCCAACCACAGCCCACACCTCAATGAAGCATATTTCCATATTTTTAATTCAAGGCAATTACATACAAGCCACCCGAAACATTGTCATATACAAATGAAGCATCCTCTTTCATCCATTTTTCAATTCATAGCCCAAGCATAAAAGAAAAGGCAGTGTAGTATTGAATAGACACAAATGCAAAAAAGCAACCCAAAAAAATGCTATGAACAAACCAATCACTCTTTTACACCAATTTTCAAATTGTCACACAAACACCAAAAGAATTGAAGAAACCGCATCCAATATTTTTCATTTGAGGCAATTACATAGAGGGCAAACCGAAAACTATCTAAGAATGAGCACCCTCTACAAATGAGCACCCGAAAACTTGTTATCTTCAAATCAAGCATACACTTTCACACATTCACCATATTCCATCGAAAAATCAAAAAATTACATAAAGAAAGCCATTCCATCGAAAAATCGCATAAGGAATACCATTCCATCAAAAAAATGTCAAAAATCGCATGTAGAAAGACATTCCATCTAAAATTACATACAAAGCACAGTAAAGAGAGATCGGAGGGAGAAGAAGAGGTGAAAGACAACGCTAATTGCGAGAGATGAGCAATCGAGGGAGACAGGCGAGCGAGGAGGCACCAGACGAAGAAAACACGTTTGGTGGTCGAGCGAGGAGGCACCTAAGGGCATGCAGATAATAGGCAGGGGAAAGAATGCGGGGAGCAAGGTCGATCCTGTGGTTGCGTTTATTAAAAATCTCGGACAGCTTATTCTGATAAGCAGATCAAATGCACGTACCAAACGGCCTGGTTGTATTTTCAAAACGCAACCGCACCAAATAAATTACCCCAAACTAGTTGTGCTTGTGTAATCCTACATTATTTGGAGAAAGACATGAGTTTTATGAGGTTGTGAATTCCTAGTTTCCTTAGTCTGCCAAACTTTTGTAACTTTGATGTTTTCTTTCAATAAAATGTTGGATTTGTCGTTTATAAGCATGCGTAGAGAGCAATAAGTGCCATTCTCCCATAATCTTGTCTGTAAAAATGTTTAGCTTGGAATTAAATGAGTGATTTCCTTGTCATTTGTGTTTATGTGTTGTTTAACCTTGAGATCGTATTTTAAATTCTTTTTTGTCAAGTGAATTGTTAAAATTAGTTATGAATTTTGAAACTCGAAAGAATTCTTAGTAGAACGATTAGGTTAACCACTTAAATTTAAGTAACTAGGGATATTGTCTTTAGATTTGTGCAAACTCAATAGGGCAATTTGGATTCTTGGGCCGAACAGTGAAATTAGGAATCTAATCTAGTATGCTTGCCAAACTTCCCTACATGCCCATAAGGGAAAAGAAAGAGAGTGCTCCTGTTTGATATTGTTCCCACCAATTTTAAAACTACATTTTTACATAACCAATTCAAGGGAGAGCTCTTTAGCACTAAAAAATTAGTAAACTCTCTAACCCAATTAGCCTAGGCTTTAATACTTCTGAAAATTAGGATAGTCACTTTCACATAAAACTAAATTTCGAACATTGAAGTTAGGTAAAATTTCAGCAGACTAGAACCCTTTTCGTTTGGGATTGAACTCATTCCTTGTGGGACCAATACACGGAATTCAGTTGCGTATACTACTTATATGACATTTATACTTGTGTGATTCACTAGTGCTTCTGTGCACTTGGATCGTATTAGAAGCTTAGTAATCTTTTTTTTTTTTTTTAATTTAATTTTTTTTCTCTTCTTTATTATTACTTGTACTGTTTTTTCAAGCATTCTTTCATAAAATTGGTATCCAAGTTATGTTTTTTTACTATGAACCTCAGACACGAACACGGGGATACAAACACGACATAATACGACATGGTACACAAAATAATTGAAAAAATATGACACAACACATTATGAACACGTTTTAATATTTAATTAATTATTAATATATTTTTTTCATTTCTTTTTATTAAATTAATTACAAAAAAAAGTATATAAGAATAAAATTTAACTTGTATAACGAAACCTCATACTTATAAAAATTAATTTTTAAAATTAGACATATAATATGTTTCAAAAAAATTTTACCAACATATCTAATAAAATTTAAAATATCTTATGCTTACACTATACCTGAGCATTGAGCGGTGAGCCCGCTCAAAATGGGCGGGCTTGGCTTTGGAAAAATAGAATTTTTGCAGACCCAGTCCGATCCGGCCCAGCCCGAGCTCGCTTTGACTTAGTTAAAGCCAATTATAACCAAACCCGGCATGCCAACCTAAACCCGAGCCGAAAATAAAAATCTCAAATTTTTTTACGAAATATGATTCGAGTAATGTTAATATTTTGAGTGTTATGTATGTAAATATAAAAGTTTAGGTGTTAGATATGTAAATGCATGAGAATCATATGGTATGTTTGAACTTGTTTAAGATTTTAATGCATGTGTAGCTCCATGCCTGAAGCAGAGTTGCTGCAGAAAAATAGGCGAACTTCTCAAAATTTTGCTATAAATTTCAAATAGATTTTTTTTTTTTTTTTGAGTGGGGGGGGGGGGGGGTTATTTTATGAATAAGATACAACATATTACAGTTCACTTGCACCTTTTCAGTAAAAGAAAAAGAAAACAAATTATTAATTTTTTAATATTGAACTTATACTAAACTTATATTTTGTCTTTGGTTGTTTACTCTTATGTTTTTGCATGCATATATTAATAGAAGTGGAGTAAATTATGATGATATTCAGTTAACTACTAACTCTTGTATTAAATTATGTCATGTATTTCAAGAAAGTCTGTTTTTTTAAATAAAGCTTTATGAACGTCTTTTCTTTAGTAAAGTAGAAGTAAAAAATAAAGCTTTGTGAATTTCATTTTTATTCAGTCAAATACTGTTTTGAATGTATTATTCGTGAATCATCATGATTAGAGAGGTTTTATGCCTCCTTTCCCATAACAAAATGAATTTTCTTTTTAAGGCCCATGGGTCGTCCGCCTAGGTGTGGGCAGGCTTGGATATGAGTTTTTAAATAGAAACTGAGCTCAAGCCCAGCCCAAGCCCGCCTTGACTAGTCAAAGCACGGCCAACACCAAGCACGACCCGTCCAACGCCCAAGTCTAATTACACATTGTTTAATTAATTAAGTAAAATTTATATTTTAGAGTTAGAATTATAGATTTATAACTATTAACTCATTAATGAGTAAAAAAAATATAAAAATGTATACTTACAATAATAGGGCTACTTGATTCCACTTGGTTTCGACGAATAGAAGTTTCTGTGCAATCTTCATCAAATTTGCAGGGTATTTGGGTCAGCTTCAATGAATAGGTTTGACTCATCCTTAGATTGCATTAAAGAAGCTTATGGCTTCCGTTTTAGCGGTTGTATGTTCGGCTTCAATGAACAAAAGAGAACTATAATGTGTTGCTCCGAGGAATGCAGGATGGACCTTTGACGCTCAGCTTCAACAAACAAAGAAGGAACTACTAATGTACAGCTTCAACGAATATTGGATATACCTTTGATGCTTGATTTTGATGAACCTTAGAGAGAGATTCAACTATAAAGTATAATTAAAGGTATACTTGTATTTATAATTTTCTACTTCTCAAATATTGGTTTTCCAAAAATCATGTTGATTTCATATCATATACGGTATCAAGGCATCTCTCGAATGTGTTCCAGCACGAAAAAAATTTAAACACGTATTTTGTATTAACCGTTAAGAGTGGGGCGTGTCAAACAAGTGTCGGTGTTTGATACGTGTTTGACACGTGTCTGACACATCTTTAGAAGTGTTGATGCTACATATGTTTTTGATCATTTGAATACAGGATTGGTGTTTGAAATCAAATTTGATTAAGGTTATTCCTTTCTGGTTCTTGCTGGCGGAAGTTTTGTTTGGTTGTTCATAAGACTATTAAATAATTGTCACATCCCAATTATGATTTTTGATAATTTGTAAAATTTATTTTTTTAGAGGATATTTGTCCTATATAACTCATGTATTTATTATTTTAATTGGTCTTTTATATTTATCTTTAATTTGTTAAAAAGCAACTAACCAGCATAATATCTTCTCATTCGTCTATAAATAAGTAAATCTTTAATTATATATAATAATTTGTTGTATAAATAAAATCTTATTGTTAATGTGATGACCCTGCTTCACTTATTCTTGGATTTTGATCCCTGATTAGTTATGAGAGCAGAAACCCCATTTTGAGAGGAAAACTTTCAATTCAAGCGTGAAACTTATTTCTCTTGTTTTTCTTTTTAATATTTTTAAACTTCCCCTCTTTGTTATCCTTATGAGTATATTATTCAAGATTATCAAGCATCAAATTTACTATATAACACTCATAAAGAAATTTACGATATTTTTTCAACATGCTTTTAGTGCTCAAAATATTACTTAACCATAAAGACTCGATATATCGCACTACTATTACAAATTATACCTTAGGATAGATATCCTAAAAAACATTATGTAATAGTGTTCAATTGTAATAATTATTATGAATACCACTTCATGAATACCGTGTTTTTGAATGAACCATTTCATAAATAGATCATGCAATTTGTTTCATTCACAACGTAATAGATCGTGCATTTTGTTTCATATGTAGCAGATATCAATGCTTCATAGTTCAAGCAATGAAACAAATCTCTCATAAAGAATTGGTTAACTTCATAAATTCTTTTCTTTAAATTTAATCTTATCTTTAAAAGGGGAGCATCTTGTCTCTCCTTTAATCTCACACGACTAAGGGAAACAATGTCATCATGCTTGCTTAATATTCAGCATTTGATCAAATCTGATTTCCTTCACTCATATGTCAGCATTCCCTCATGGTATTTTCATGCACATAATTTCTCCTTTTGAATAAAAATACAACTCATTAAGATCTGATGGGTTAAAATTAGTTTAGAGTGCTAAAATTTTCAACAATTTTTCTTAAAAAAAATTTGTCAATCCAAAGAAGATTGTCTTCTTCTGGATCACTTTTTGTACTTCATTCTAATAGGAAGATGGTGGACTATCCCATGCTATATATAACTATAAGCCTATCTAAGAAACTTCTCTGTACTTAACTTTTTTTTGGCAGCCTTTTCTCATTTTGAACGAGCACTACAATACATGCTCACTCATTGCATGCCATCTCATAATTACCATTAATTATACAAGCAATTCTTTACCTAATTAGAAAAAGTTCAATAACGCCCTTGATTCAGTTTAACTAATGCCCCACTTAACTTTCTGAAATATTCTTTAACAATGTTGGAAATGTATGTTAATAAAAAGGCTGAATTTTTATTTCATCTTCCTGCAGCCTACAAAGCATTCTCTAATAATCCACGCTATTTCATATCACATGCCTTCAAACTCATACCTACAATGCATACTCTTATAACCCATACATCTTTTCACAAAATTCTTTAAATTATTAATCACTTCAAAAAATTTTCTCCCGAACAAAATCACATAATAAAAGTATCCCATTAAATCTAAACAACTTTCTCCTTCATTTTACAATTTGTTACGGTTCCGATCACCTTACACCACTAACACTCGCAAGCAAAACTCAAGCTATTTCAGGCATTATAATTTTCTCATTTCCATTAATTCATTGCAAGCATGTGAAAATTATCTTTATCAATATGCCCACTAATGTTCAAGACTCCACTATATAAATTTCCGAAAATTTCATGGACAAAACAATCATAAGAAAAGGAAAATTGAAAAGTGCATGTAGAATAAAGCAAATTTGATAAAAAAAAAGTATTTTTGTTCGATTATTCACAAGTACCTAATGATCTTCTCATGTTGAGTATCGTGTGCATATGCCAACATTTCACTAGCCTTGTCACTTGCGGTCCCAACCATAAGCAAGCCCATACTGATACCAGCAGCTTCACCAGCTACAGCACTATCAGTATAAAGGACATTCTTTACCTCCTCATATATTTCCTCATCAGCTGTTCCCAAAGCTGCCAATCCGAGGCCTAAACACGCTCCATGTTGAATAATCTGAAAATTTTATATGCTACCAAACCTTAGTAAGTATGTTAAGAAATTGGAGAGCAAATGTGCAGGTCTATGAGAGGAGAGCGACAATTCAAAAAGGACTGTTACCTCAGAGACAGTGTTTTGTAAGCTGTCTCGAAGAAAATGTTTTATTCCTTCGCCATGATTAGCATGAATAAGTCCTAAAGCATAGAGGGCACCACCTTCTGAATAAGGACTGCCTCCACCAGCAGCACCGGTTTGAGGCAGATAAGGTGCCATCAGAGCCCTTCCTTGCTTGAGGTGTCCTTTATGGATAACCCCTAGGCCAGCAGTAGCACTAAATTTAGCCCAGTTTGTTGCTCTACTCAACCATTCCTGCCAGATCAGACATGGAAATTTTTTAATATTCAATTTCAAAGATTTTTTATAAGACGGTGGTGAGACCTGCAATACTCTAACTTTAAAAGAGAAGCATAAAAAGAGAAGCATAATGCTAAGCTAAGTGTTGCTAAGATAAGAATGATTAAGTGGATGAGTGGATTTACACTTAGAGACAAAATGTGAAATGAATAAATTCGTGATAGGGTTGGGTGTAGCTCCTGTGACAAACAAAATTAGAGAAAGTCGTCTTAGATTGTTTGGTCACATTAAGCGTCGACCATCCGATGATCTGATTAGGAGAGTAGATGTTTTAGATTCGACTTATGTTAAGAAAGGAAGAGGTAGACCTGGGAAGACTTGGTTTATTGTATAAAAAATGATCTTAATTTATTAGAAATAAATGAAAATATAACACTAAATAGGACCCAATGGAAAAAAAGGATTCATGTAACCGACCCCACATAGTGGGATTAAGGCTTTGTTTTTGTTGTTGTTGTAGTTTCAAAGATTTAGATTTTCTGGCCCTATATACAAATGAAATCACAGGTAGGTAGCATAAATTCAAAACTAGTTAAGATTACCAGGTTCTCTCTCAAGAAGGTGTCCACTGTTGTCCCAGCATGCATGATAGCATTTGCACAGATGGTCGCACTGTGACAAACACTATTTCTCATTTCTACTGACTGCTTTATAGATTTCAAAATTAAGAGGTCTGACCTGCACGTGCAAACAGATATGAGCATACAAATTTTTTTTTTAAAAAAAAGAGGTTTTACAAAGCAAAGAAAGACCTGTTGTGGCTATATAGAAATTGTATTGTCAGTTGAATTGATGTTTCTCCAGACAAGATTCCTTTAATTTTTTCAAGCTTTTCACTGTATGTAACTTCATTTGGATCTACAGGACCATTCGGAGCTTGAATACTATCCGTCATGACAATGTCCAGTGCCCCATTAGCAGCATCATCAGTTGCAACAGCATTTCCATTTTCAGGTGTCATATCGATAGAATTGTTGGGGAGATTTGCTTCTTGTGGTTTTGGGTATAGTAGGTGATTTCTAACATTTAGAAGGAATGCTTGATGTTCATTTTCAACAAGATCAAAAGCGATCTGAAATGCTAGAAGAGCATCATCCTGAAAATAAAGTGTAAAAGACTTAAATTTGAACACTAAATTATATAATACAGTTGAAAACAGCTTCAGCTTAAGTAGTGCAAATGAAGAAAAATGGAACTGAAGCAATTACCTTGCTATCAGATCGTAGAAGTCTCTCCATTGTAGTGGCAACAGTATCAGGTTTGTTAAGAAACATGAGGCATTGACAAATATTTATATAATCAGGGGATGGTAGTCCCTGATATATTTTAACAAGGAGATGAAGAATCTGTGATAACAAAAAATAAAATGAACAAAGTTATGAAAAGTCATTCATAGTCAGTTGTATACTAAAAAAACCTTCAGCACGTTTTTTATAAAAACAAAAGCTCCCCACACCTTAAGAAGAACAAACACCTGCAAAAAAATAATTATAATTCATAATGGACAGACAAATCCTGAAACTGGAAAAATGTGAGCGCTATTATTTAAGGCTTTGATGAAAGCTATTAATATGCCATCCAAATAATTATTGTTAAAGGCTTTAGTCTCTCATAAAAACGATGATATATGAACAAGGCATAGAACATAATTATTCTTACATGAAAAGGATTATCTTAAAGCATGCAACACGGAAAATTTTCAGCATACTCAGCCCCCAGCAAAAGTACACCCACCCAAAGGATGAAAAAGAAAATAAATGAAAAACAATAAATTATAATTTAAATGGACTGCAACAAGTTGCCAATACTAAAAACACTACACCGCTGCCTCCCCAAGGGGAAGAAAAGAATCAATGTTAAACAAACTTAACGTCACTTGAACAAAGCCAGGAGGACAGGTGAAACATACTTGAATTGGCGATTGATGGTGAATTGCTGTCGTAAAAATCCTCATCAGCACAAACTTATGGGTCAATTTTGGATGTCAGTTTGCTCCGACACAAACAGAACATCAAGGCCAAATAATTGGTAAAGATTGAACCAAGGGAAAGCCTAATTTGTGCCAACGTGAATAAACAATGCACAATCAATTTGATTTTTAATGATGATATCAACAGTAATCACCTATGATATAAATAACAAAAGAAGTGGAGCATCAATTGCCTACCTCCTTGATATTCTTGTTAATTTCATTTTATTTCTGCAGCATCCACACGACATTGAAACTATACTCATCATCCTTGGTTGATATCATTTCTATAATTAAAATGTTTTTGTACAAGGTTTGCCACAAAATATCTAAAATGTTGATTGTAACTTTAATCTAAATAATCATAAACTAGCCAAAGAAAACAATACACTATGATGATACTCTCCAAAAGAAAATATTCTCAAGAGGGTATTGCTTAAACATTAAAAAAAGCATAAAACATAAAACAACAAACTTTAATTATACTCTCCAAAGAAATGTTTTTCAAAAGGGAGCCCTCATGCACAATATGCTTCCTTTGATGAAAACATGGATGGTAAACAATAAACTTTGATTATATTCTCCAAAGAACTGCTTTCCAAAAGGGAGTGTCTTAAATACCAAAAAAACACAAACTAAACCCCACATAAAAGAGAAGCCACATCCATTAGATATAATTTTTGGTGCAAATATTAAAGTCTTTACTCATTGTAAATGCAAATTGTGTTCGCTGATATTGTTTTAGTTGCCTGGCATTTCGGTTAATTTTCTAGTTATAATATGAATGTAGAAAGCCGATGATGTTGTCACTTATGAGAACGAGATGTGTTCTTCATTAATTTTGATGACATCGTTAGGCTTGTTTTAAAATTGCAGGTTGTTTCAATTCAGCACTTAGACTCCAAAGTCCAGTTCAGTACCTCTATATATTTCCTTATTTTAGCACATGGTCAGTTCTCTTGTTTTGTTTTCAGGTCCTACCACTATTTTAGCAACACTTTGTTATTGTCATTAATTTCACGTTATGCTACTGTTATGAAATACAATTTCATGTTTGAAACCTACTTTTGAAGAGAGTTGCCTTTTTTTTTCACCATCCTAGTTCCTGCACTACAACCAGAAACTGTTCTTGGTGGCTGCTGGTAATGTATAAATTTATTACAGGTAACTAGCTATTTCCTTTGATTCCTTCCTCCTGCAATATTTGTTCCCTCGGCTTTTACACTTGTGAACTTTCCTTCTACGCCACTATGGTTGTAACAATTTTTGGTTCTTTTTAGTCGTTATCTATTGTATCATACTGGAAAGGCAAATGCAGCTGGTTCCGCTAAACGCTCCTAATAAAATTAAGAAGTGGCAGCTGAACTCTGTTTATACATATGGCTAAACTAAAATCTATATAAAAATATAATAATAATAATAAAGTATAAATTCAGGATTCCCTTTGCTCCCAGTCCTTGTCACCAAGATATACATGCTCATGTGGTATCGGGGTATTAGCAGGTATGGATATGCAGTTCATCGGGTAACTATTAGCTTCTGCATTATTATACATGCAAAGCTTTCCAATTGGAACAAGTTTTGAAGGGAAAACTTACAACTTTTGCAAAAGCTAAGGTTAAAACAAGTTCTTGCTGGAATCGAAGTGTATTGTACTGAAACTTGAAATATTAGGCCAAATTTTTAGGAGTTCATGCATTTTTTTTGTATTTTTTTGAGTTATACATAAGACCCCTCAGTTAAAATTCAACGAAGAGTTGATAAAATTTTAGTTTTATTCTCAATTATTGCGTATGAATTTGGACATGGATTCATCAAGAACTCTGCAATTCTTGATGACAATTTCCCTTCTACTGACTTAAAAAATTGAATCTTCCAATAGGCAATTTCTATCATTGTTCTTTTGTCTAAAATATTATTGATTGGTTTGTAAGCATGATAGGACTTTGTCAAGTTTGATCCATATTGGCTCTCATTTTTTTGATGTGATTCTCAAGTCTTAACCGCTGCATAATTTTATATGTGTATTCAATTTTCTTGAAGAATTTCAGATTTTGAAACTTCTATATTCTCTTTGGGAATGAATGAAATAAAAGAGGGTGTTACCTGGTTTTGCAACAAAAGAAAACAATATTTGCTAAAAATAACTTCAAAGAACTGTAAATTTGAATATTCTATGTTGTTCTTTGCACATCTCATCCAAGATTTGCATTAGTGAAATCTGTCCTGCACACACATCTTTTACTACCCTATACATAGAGAAGTACAGAAAAACACCAAAATTAAAGTGACGCAAAGCAACTAAACCTGCCCATGAGTGCATGCACCACTAAAAGAAACCAAATATGCATATCCGACATACAAGGTTGTTAAGCAAGCTACATTATCCAATTTAACGGTATTTCTTTTTCTTATTCCCAAGTAATTATGAACACCATAAATTAATAAAAAAAACTGAAAACTGAAGTCATCGGAATCAGGGCTACTTGCCTCACATCGGTATTCCCTGTGATAAACGAAAGAATGTGAAAGGTTGATGCAGTACGAAAGAGCACCATGAACATTTTCGCTCCTAGTAATTGCCTCCTCTAACTTATCCAACCTCCTACATTCAATAGCTATGCCCATGGCCTGCTGATATTTTCCATCCATAATACACCTGCAGTAAGGAATTATGATTTATGAACATTATAAAAATGGATTTATAGCCAGGAATTTTACGTGGCATACTTGTCCAACATTCTTTCTACTATTGCTTCCAATCTAGGATCGATCGCTGCACCTTCTTCACCAGTTTTAGTACTTTTTGATTTCAGAATTGCATACTCATCGAGGGCTTTGGCTGCCAAAAAAAACAAAAACAAAATTACACAAAGGAAAAGAAATGGTAGTTTGCAATAGAAAGTAGCATGGATGCAGAACACGAGAAATAGGTCATACCAAGGAGGGTATGAGCATAGTCAGAATCTTCAGAAACATCAAACATCGGACCAGCACCAAGGGCATACGACAATGAGTCATTAAGCTCGCCAAGATAATAAAATACCTAATCTCAGAGAATAGCAAACAAACCATTGTCGAATCGCTATTACAGGACTTTAACCAGCCTAAATAATTGTCAAAATAAAAAAAATATAATACCTTGGAAACAACCAGCGCAGCAAGCTGCCTCTGTTCAAACTCCTCGTCTTCGTATAAGCTTTCACTGCAAATTAAGAAAAAAATTACTTCTGATTGCCAAATTGAAAAGATTAGACGAAGCCCTGCTCTTTCCAATGGAGTAGATCTAGCATTAGGTGTCAGCGTCTACTTAATACAGTAGCTAACATGAACCTTTTATTCACACATAGAAAATGTTTCGGATCGACTGCGATCTGGGCTTCTAAACATTATCACAGAAAAAAAAAAATTGAAAATAAACAAATCAAGTCAACAGAACATTGAAGCATGACCACAATTTCTGCACATCTTTATTCGCATGAGCCCAACTGGTGAATACCGTCGACCCCAAAACCCTAATTCAGGTAGGAGAAGAAAAAACTGTATGATGGAGAACTAGGTTTAAAACTCACATTGTAGGGACGCTGGTTGAGATTTCGGGCCAGAAAAGATTGACGAGGGAGTTGAGTTTATGCAGAGCGTGGAGCTTGAGGGCAGGATGTTCCTCGTTCAGCATGGCTAGCAGCCCGCTCGCCGAGCTCACCACAGCCATGATCAAACAGGTGGCGAGGATTAGCCTCCTTAGAAAAAGCAGACAACAGCGCAGCGAACGGGTAGTCTAAGGATTACTTGAAAACGAAGCAAGATAACTGGTGCGATGAAAGAGCAGAACTAAGAAGACGATCAGAGAAGCAGAAGACGATTATCACTTCTTGGATGAGAATACCGGGTGAAGATGTTAGGCGAAGATGCTTTGTCTCGTCCCAAAACCTAATATTTAATTCGGGCAGTATTTGATCGGTCGATTTGAATTACGTTCCATTTCATCAACGATGTTATACTTTTGTGCCACGAAATTTTAGAACCCTTCCTGAGAAATATTATGAACTTAGGGTAAGTTACATAAAACATATTGAAGGTTTATATTTATATTATATTTCATATAATCTCTCTGTAATATACTTATAACATATCAGTAACTTACAAATATATAAAATAGAAGCGTGAAACTTACTAGTTTCAAGTAGGTTGTAAGAGGTTACAGGGGGTATAACTCTGATATAACCCTCAATATCTTTTCTGTAACCTACCGACGTACACAGCTCTGCATACATTAGATGTACGCAAATATTTCTCCTTTATGAGCTAATAAAATACCTAGTTCATGAAGCTTAATTCAGAAGACGATTATTTTCGCTTAATTGATGAAGCATTAAAATTTTCATACGTATCACACCATTCTTATGCAATTATTTGTCTAATATTATAAATTTTATATTTACATTTATAATATTTAAGTGTTAAAAGATATATTTCACTTTTAGAAAATTAATAAAAATGTATACCACGGAAATTCCAGCACGAATCTTGAAAGAATCAGACGGCTAAAAGTAGAGACACGCAAACAAAGCACTAGACAATAGAGCAGAAAACTCTGCTCCAAACAGTCAATTGACTCTATATTTCAGGCGACCGTCAAAATTGAACGACCAACCAAAACTTTTATCAAGCAGAATATGTCGACTGACGTGTCTACCGATCATGAAACTGCTAGCAAAGGTTTGTTCACCCTGGTCAAACAACCAAATTGCCAAGAAGATGTGATCCATCGATACCTACACACGGCGGACGACCGACATAGCCGACCAACCTCAAGGCTTTGGACGGTTGATCATATGTCGCCTTTATTTTCATCAACATGTAATTTGAATTCAGACAGTTATGAAAATTGCTCTTTTCTTACATATACTTGTATTCTCAGACTCCTATAAACAGGAGGTCACGACATCAACAAAAGGAAATTTAGATCTTCACTTTGGGAAATTCTGACATTTGAATATTCTCTTACATTTTTTTAGCTCTCTCACTCTCGCTCCCTCAATCACACACTTTTCTTCTCTATGCTCTAGCCCGTGAGGCGTGTTCCACAAGAAAACAATCAAGGATTCAACATCCTAAAAGGTTATATGGTGAGCATGGGTATGCCACAGACGAGAGGCAAAGCCAATTACGAAGAAGAATTGCATTACGAAGACCTAACCACGATGGAATTTAACAGGGAATCTATGAATCCAGAGATCCAAAAACAGGTTCAAGAATTGTGAGATCTATTGATGTCGAGGCCCTTTGACAAGCAATCTTGCAAAAGAATGAATAATATGTACTCTCAAGGGTTGAATCTCAGAGAACTCCACTTCAGAGTGTTTTCTTGAAGCACCTGTTAGCGCTGATTAAACACGTCAGCGATCAAACAATCGAAGGGGAAGGGGTGTCCCCACAACTTGCCAGTAACAGATATATGTCGATGGTGAGACTTCGAGTAGATCGTGTCAACGTACTGATCTGGCCTTCCCCTGATAGTGCCTTCACTCGACGGATCTTGGAGGTCATCCCATCAACAAAGATGAAAATCCCCCATATGGACCCTTATAAGGTAAAAAGTGATCTGATAGACCACCAGACATTCTTTAAATCATCAGTCGGTATCTTACAGATCGACGACGCCATGAAGTGTTGTCGCTCCTTCACAATACTCAAGGATTCAGCCCTTCGTTGGTTCCATGCTCTGTTGACCGGAATCATTCTGATGTTTATTGAATTTAGAAAGTTTTTTCTGTCGCACTTCGCCAATATGAAGAAACCAATAAAGGAAACATGGGCTCAGCTACAGATTAAGCAGGGGGAGAATGCGAGCCTGTGGTCGCACATCACTCATTTTTCGGAAGGAGATGTTGAAAAGCCATGGCTTTTAACAATTGATAGCTCAGACTGCTTTGTCATAGCGGGTCAGAGATGAACGTTTTAAGTATGATTTGAATTAGTGGTGTAAATGAACTGAACACGAATGAACAAAACTAGTGTTCATGTTCGGTTCGTTTGAAATTAGGTGTGTTTTAAATAGGCTCGTGTTCGAAATTGTTCGTGAAGTTGTTGTCTGTGTTCTGTTCAATTTGTTCAAAATTAATTCAAATTGTTCGAAATGTTTGAATTTTTTGAATTATCTGAAGTGTTTGAATTGTTTGAATTGCTCGAATTATTCAAATTGTTCGATTTATTTGAAATGTTCAATTTGTTTGATTTGTTCGAAATGTTTGAATTGTTTGAAAATTTATAGATTTGTTTGTATACTTTGAATTGTTAAAGATATTTCTAATTATTAATTCTCAAATTACCAAAAACAGTAAATATCATTGAAACTGAATTAGAACTTAAATAAAAGCATCATTTGATCATTACATCCAAATATTCAAGCAAATAATCTTTACATTAAATAGTTGATATCATCAAACAATTGGGAAGTGTTATATATGTTATGATAATATAAGAAAAAAAATTACATACATATCACTCGAATATTTTGTATTTACATTCAGAGCCTGAATTTCAAATGTACTACTATGTTTGTAAAGGCCCATAAAAAACATGAAATAAAATGTCAACTCAAAACTAATTATGACTTGAAGAAGAAATATTAGTTTTAAATCTCTGTAAGGAACATGTCTTTGCCTTCCATCTACTAAATCAGCTAAAACCATTATTACATCCCTGTAAATCCAACAAATGCTCAGACAATCGTAATTATTAAAAAAAAAGTTATATGTACAAAGGAAAAGAAAAATAAATGCATCCTACATGTAGTATACCCAAGTGTTAATAAGGATTTATTAATGTTTGAAGCCTCCTTTAAGCGATCCCCTTTAGCACCTGATGTTTTTTGCCTATTTAACAAATATAAAATGAATCAAAACAAAGTTACTAGATAATTCTTCATAAATAAAAAGAAAAACATATCAAGAAAGTAGCTTTTAGATCCTGCAATATCACTTGGTTAGTAATACTTTACCTTAGGGATTTAATACTTCATCAAATTAAGAAGTTCATTTATGATTCAAAATTTTTCTTATGAGATGACTCTTATTTATATAAACAATGCGAGGACTTAATTATTTGAAGATATGTACCACTAGAAGAAACTCAAGAAATTGTTCAAAAATGTCATAAATCAAACTTTGGGGGACATTTTGGAGTGGATAAAACTGCATTTAACATTTTACAATCTTAATTTTATTAGCCAGCTTTATTTAGAGGTGTTAATAATTATGTAAAAATATGTGATCAATGTCAGAGAGTAGGCAGTATTTCTAAAAGAGATGAAATACCCCTAAATTTTACTCTTGAGGTTGAAATCTTTGATGTTCGGTGTTGAAATCTTTGATATTTGGTGATTAGATTTCATGGGACCATTTGTACCATCTTTTGGAAAAATTTATATTTTAATAGCTGTAGATTATGTTTCTAAATGGATTGAGGCAGTTGTTTTTCCTCGCTGTGATGCTAAAAGTATAGAAAAGTTTTTAAGAAAGTATATTTTCACAAGATGTGGAATGCCACGAGTTATCATTACAGATGGAGGAAGTCATTTTAGAAATAGAATGATAGAAACATTAACTCAAAAATTTGGGATTAAACATTGAATTACCACAACTTACCATCCTCAAACCAGTGGTTTACCAGAAGTATCCAATCAAGAAATTAAAAGAATATTAGAAAAAACGGTAAATCCTAAAAGGACGGATTGGTTTGCTAGACTTGATAATGCTTTATGGGTATATAGGATTGCTTATAAAACACCTATAGGAATGGAACTATATAGACTCATATACGAAAAAGCTTATCGCTTGCTAGTTGAGTTGGAACAAAAAAGTTACTAAGCAATTAAAGAGTTTAATTATAATTTGAAAGATGCTGGAGATAAGTGATTACTGCAATAAAATGAGCTTGATGAATTGAGAAATGAAGCTTATGAGAATGCCAAAATTTATAAAGAGAAAACAAAATTTAGGCATGATCAGAAAATTCTGAAAAAGCATTTTCAGCCTGGGCAAGAACTATTGCTTTATAATTCGAGATTGAAATTATTTCCAGAAAAACTTAAATTCAGGTGGTCATGACCATTTATTGTGGTAAAAGTATATCCATATGAAGAAGTTGATATTTAAGATCCAAAAATTGAGAGAGTGATTAAGGTAAATGGACACATATTAAAAGCTTACATGAGTGAAGAGGATCCTGCATTTGAAGAGATCCTAATTTTGGGTCAAACCTAAGTAAAACAATGGTTATGTCAGCTGATGACGTTAAGCCAAGCGCTTTGTGGGAGTCAACCCATTGTTATCAATGTGATTTAAATTTGAATTATTGTGATAAATTATATATGGTGATTATGAGTCTTATACGATTTTGTTGGCACAAAATATTATTATATTAAAGGACTTGAAGGGTGGAAGAAAGAAATTTGAGAGTTGAGTATGTCGGCTTGGCGCTACAGCACCAGATCAGGAACTATAGCACCACAGTTCGAATAACTCCTCTAAAACACAAAAAAATTGGTTTCTCTTCTTCTTCCTCTATATAAAATCGCCTAGGACGGGATTTGAAGTGTCCCTTTGACATTCCTAAGTATTTTAAAGAGATTTGAGAGTGAAAATTTCATTTAATAGATCATGGAGAGCAATGTCGATGGGAGATTTCAAGAAAAGAAGTTGGTGCATAAGGATGTTCAAGTATATTTCAATGGATACCTCACAGTGAGTTTGGAGCGCCTCATGAAAAAACTTGAGAAGATTGAAGGTGAGATTTCCCTTCTGCATTCAAAGGTTGAAAAGTTGTCCCATCATTACAAGCATATAGATTAGCAGTTGAAACTGCAATGCAATAATTTTAGCGTGCTTCCAAGATAGTCAAATGACTATATATAGCACCAAAAAGTGGATCGATGATAAGTTTGCTAAGGAATTTCCTCGTGCTTGTTTCTACCATTGC